ACCCTGATTCATAAGGAAAAGGGGACGGCATATTCTCTTAGCTTCTTCCTGCTGAAAAGGGACGCTGTAGGTTTCAGGGTGAAGATCTTCTCTCACTATTCTAAAGGGCCCCTTTGTCAAAGCCATTTCTGATTAATCTCCTTTGTCAGTGTGTCCTTTGCCATTCCCTATCACTCCTCTCTGAGAGACACTACACCTGATTCATAAGGAAAAGGGGATGGCGTATTCTCTTAGCTACTTCCTGCTGAAAAGAGATGCTGTAGGTTTCAGGGTGAAGAACTTCTCTCAGTACTCTAGAGGGCCCCTTTGGCAATAGGAAACACGTAGACTGTTGTGGAAATTGATTTTGGAATTTAGATGCACTGTTATCAGTTCTGCTTAGCCGTACATGTTCATATCCTTGAAGATGTATCATGGAAGTGTTACAGCCTAGAAGACACAATTTTAACTAACAAGTTAAAAGTACATGAGTATTATGTAAAAGTACATGAGTATTATGAGTATTATTAAAAAGCAATAATATTCCAAGTAGAGGTTCTAATAGTGGCACAAATCAAGTAACAGGGGGAAGGTAGTTCTTAAAAGTCCTATTGACTAGCACTTTGTCCATTATAGTATGAAGGTTCAGAACCACAAGATGTAGAGGCTTAACTATGGCATTTATTGTTCTTAAGTCCTGGAGCAAATTTCATCTACCACTGGGTTGTTTTACAGGTCAGAAATCTGCATGAAAGGCAGAGGTGAAGTAAAGAACTGCTTATAAAGTTTTCTGTCAATTCCAACAACTGAGAAATAGTGAGAAGAGTTGGGACCTCAGAAGGTTTTTAGGACCAAATTGTAGGTTCTTGTGTCCAGGATAAAACCAATATACTTACGAGTAATGTTAATAATGCTCACCCACAGCTCTTCTGGGAGGATCTAAATCGAAGCATCCTCCTTTGTTTCCATCTGGGAGCTGAGGCCTGTCAGTCCTATCAGCCATGAGGACGTGATGTGGGCCACCCTTGGACAAGTGTCCTTCAGATTCACACTTAAAGTCCTTGTTAGATTTTGTTAACGTTTATTTTATATGTTTTGCAGGTCTTTCATTTGGTGCATAGATATTTATTATTGTTATGTCCTCTTGTTCTATTGAAACTTTAAGCATTATGTAGTGACCTTCCTTGTCCTTTGTGATTGTTTTTGCATTGAAATTTATTTTATCAGAGATTAATATTGCTACTCCTGCTTTTTTCTGGTTGTCATTTGCTTGTTATATTTTCCCCACCCTTTTATTTTTACTCTGTCTTTATCTTCGTTTATCAGGCGTGTCTCTTGCAGACAGCATATTAATGGATTTTATGGGGTTTTTTTATCCAATCTGCTATTCTTTTTCTCTTCAGTGGTCCATTTAGACCATTCATATTCAGTGTGATTATTGAGAGGCAAGGTTTTATTGCTACCATTGTGTTGAATTCTTTTTGGTGTTGTTGCTAGTTACTTTGGTCCATAATGCTTTCTGTGACACCTCTGTAAGAAGGACGTCTCTCAGTGTTTCCTGCAATGCTGTTCTTGTTTTTACAAACTCCATTTGGTTCTGATTTTCTAGGAATATCCTGATCTCTTTCATGGAGAATTTGGCTGGGTACAGTATTCTTAGTTGACCATTGTATTCTTTGAGTGTTAGTATTTGTCATTCCACTGTCTTCTTGCTCACATGGTCTCTGTTGAGAAATTGGTCCTTAATTTTATCTGCTCTCCCATATAGGTTACTCTTTGTTTCTCCCTTGCTGCTTTCAGAATTCTCTCCTTATCTTTGTTTCTGGCAAATCTGACTCTGATATGCCTTGTTGTTTTTATTTTAGGGTCTAATTAATATGATTTTTGCTCAGCTTCTTCATTATGCCTGGAAAGTTTTTTTCTAGTAATTCTTCCACAACTTTTCCCAATGCCTTTTCATGTGCATGCTATTTCTCTTGATGGTGTCCCACATTGTTCTTAGGTTTTCTTCTTTTCCTTCATTTTTCATTCTGCTTTTTCCTCTAGCAGATCAGTGGTGATGAATCCATCTTTTATTTTACTGGTTCTGTGTTCTTTCTCTTCAACTCTGTTCAAGTGTCCCTCCATCATATTAACAGCATCTGAATCATTAGTCCTCATATTTTGGATTATGGTTTCTTGTTTTTCCAGAGCCTCTAATGCCTCATTTGTTTTATCTGGATTGTTCTGGATTGTTTTTTAAGTTCCTTTTGGTATTTGCTTGCAGTGTCTTGTAAATTTTCCAGTTTGTCTTTCACCCATTGAAAATATTCAATCATTGTTCTTTTAAAATCTGTCTGAAAGTTCCATCAGACTTTCTAGTTTCAGCAAATCCATTGACACTGTGTCACTTTTTGGAGGTAATTTCTTGCTTTGGGCTTGTGTGGTCTTTGAGGTAGTCTGCTTCTTTAATGTCATTGTTGTGGTAAAGTTTTTCATGCTTGAGGCAATAGCCTGTTTGTGATCTGAAGTCACTCTGCCAGAAGAGCATGGATATACGTAGGGTGGGTGCAAGTGCAGACACACGCTTGGAGGGTTAGTGGTGGGTGGCATTTTTGGTGACATGAATGGAAAACCAGGAAGCCTTGATTTTCCCTTCAATAAGTGGGTCATCCACCCTAGTCGATCTCCAGCTGTGTCACTCCCTTCTGCTTATGGTGAAGGGTTCCACATGGTCCAGCAATCAACAGTGATGCCCCCTAAGTACCTCACTCAGATTTCCACTGTACAGCTTTTTTTCTCTCCTCCAAGGCATGTTGCTCCTTGCTGAGGCTTTCTGCTCCCCATGGAAGGTTGTTGCACCCCATAAAAGTTCTCTGTTCCCCACTGAGGCTCACGACTCCCTACTTAGGCTCGCTCCTCTTTGCCAAGGCTTGCTGTTCTCTGCCAGTACACACAGCTCCCACTGAGGCTCCCTGCTCCCCTCTGAGGCTCGCTTCTCCCTGCTCACTGCTCCCTGTCACGACTCTCATAGTGGTTATTTTAATAACAATTCTCATTCCAATTCCAGCTGTCCTGCTGTCCCTGGTGTGTGTCCCTCTGGTGTGCATCACTTTTTGCATTCTTCATGAACGATATTCTTTATATCTTTCTGCAGCTTATCTGGTCTTTGCTCATTAGTGGTCAAGGCCTCAAACCTATACCTGAGTTAGTTTTAAAATTCATGGGAGATAGACTCAAGGTCAAATTTTGATTCCTGTGGATATGATTTAACCTTCTTTAGTTTTAATTTGAGCTTGCATATGGGTAGCTGATGATCTGTTCCTCAATCAGCACTTGGCCTAGTTTTCACTGCTGATATGGAACTTCTCCAATGGTTCCTTCCACAGATGTAATCAGTCTGATTCCTGTGCATCCCATCAGGTGAAATCCATGTGTATAGCCTGTGTTTCTGTTTCTTATATGCTGTGAATAAATAATTGATTGTAAAGAAGTGTGTTATTCTATCACCGGCCTCATTTCTGTCACCAAGTTTATACTTTCTGACTACTCATCCCTCTTTCTGATTCCTAACTTTTGCATTCCAGTCACCCATTATTATTAAAGCATCTTGGTTACATATTTGATAGATTTCTGACTGCAACAGCTGATAGAAATAATTTATTTCCTCCTCTTTGGTTCTGGTTGTAGGTGCATAAATTTTAATGATAGTGGTATTAACAGGTCTTCCTTATATGTATATGGATATTATCCTTTCACTCACAATATTGTGTTTCAAGAAAGATCTCAAAATGATCTTTTTAACTATGAAAGCAACCCCGTATTTTCTCACCTTTTCATCTCCAGCATAATAATTCAAATGATCATGGGATTCAAAATATCCCATTCCAGTCTTTCTCATTTCACTAATACCCAATATATCAATATTTATATGTTCAATTTCTTTTTTTACAGTGTCCAGTTTTCCTACATTTATGCTTCTCACATTCCACGTACCAGTTGTTAGTTTCTTTTTTCAACTGTTTCTCCACCTCTGTGTTTCCAAATCTGAGGGCTCATAGGGTTGAGAACCCTCTGTCTACATAATAAGCATTGAAAATTTTGTTGAATGAGGTTGTAAGTAGAAGTTTTTCTTATAGGTTAAGGTTATAAATATAAATTTTACTTTTATTTTATTGTGACAATAACACTTAATCACCACCATGCTGTGTTTTGTAAATTTTGCTACTGTGTTTATTTTCTGACTTTTCTTCTCCTTTAATTTGAGCTGTACCCATCACTAAATTGGTGTTCTGTTTGTTTCTTGACACAGGTGAGGCTGCCAGCTATTACCTCAAAGAATCCAAGCAAAGTGGGAACACCTGTCAGTTCAAAAGAAACTTCTAGGAATAGACTCTCCTTTCCTCCAATGTAAGTCACAAGCAGCATAGAGGCTATTTAATTTAACTGTGGATTTGGGCTGTCATCGTCATATAGGTGACAGCATTGACACTTTATGCTAATATTGGCCAAGCAACATTTTATTCCTGACCACACTTTACAGACAATGCTTTTGGTGGCATTGACTTTCTCAGCTTCCCAAAGTCTTGCACCTCCTGATTCTGCATTCCCATTTTCAGTCCTTACCAACTTCCTGCTCCTGTTGAGCACATTTCCTCCCTCCTCCACACCTAGTTTGCAGCAACAGGTGACATGCATGATTGCTGCTCTTCTCCAATAAACTCTTCTGAAACATGCCTCCATGATCCTACCCTGCATACAACTTTGGTTGACTGCCTTTTAAATTCTGAACCACTTCTTACATGTGTGTTGCTTAGCTCTGATTTTCCATATCACTGAGGCTGAAACTTTGACATTCACTCCTTTTAATTGCTCTGGATTTATAGTTATTTCAAATACATTATCAGTTGCTCTTACATTTTATTAATTCCTTAGCTGGAAAATGAAAGCCATATGAGCTTCTGTTTGTTTTTTAGTTTCTTAGAATTTCTTAGAATCCTATTTAGTGATAGAGAAATTGCTATGAGTTCTTTAGTTCTTTAATCGGCTACTAGTCATTGGAAGGAAAAAGTGAATAGTGTGGCAAATGCAATGAGAAGACCAATGTTATACTTAAGCTGGATGAAAAGTGAAGAGAGGAAGAACCATTGAGAATATCCTAATCATAAGAAATGTGAGGTCCAGAGAAAAAAGGTGACACGCGTCACCTATTTAACCTTAATGTGTGTGAGGTTCCATGGTTTCCACCATGGCAAACTTTCCCATCACTCTCTTTAGGCATTAAGGCAAAGTAATTTGGTCAAAGCTGAGTATGTGTTTAGTGCTCTGTGTTTATCGCCCTATAAGGTAACTGTGTCTTTTTTCCTCTCATGACAAAGGTCAATGACAGAAAGAGGACAAAGCGGTCGGTATCAGGGAGCTGAGGACTGGCAGATTACCTCTAGTATGAACATACAAAAGGAAGAAATGAGTTTAACAACTTTTAAACGGTTCTATAACCAGTAGGCTTAAGTGTAGCAAAGATGGTGGTAATGGCACAGCATTGGGCCACATTTTTTTTCTATGTCTGGTGTTGTGAGTTGGAGTTGATTTGACAGCACTAACTTCAAGAAGCAGCCCATCCCTGCCTAAAGCACATTTTTATGAAGAAAAGTCTGGGAAACTAGACTAAGCATGCTCTCACCACCTATATATAAAGAGTATACTTCCTTATGCTATAAAGTAGAAAAAGTAAGAGGTAAGTCTCCATCATGATGTTTTGTTTTTTTTAAGCATTTTATTGTGGTTTGGGTAAAATTTTACAAAGGAAACAAGTTTCTCATTCAACAATCTACATTGATTTTGTTTGTGACATTAGTTCCCATTTCCTCAAAGTAACAGCACTCTTCCCATTTCTAGGCCTGGTTCCCTGGTTTCTAGTCACTCATCTTTTCTACCTCTTCCTGACTGAATGGTTTTGTGTTTAGTTTTGTTGTTTTTTTTTATTGTGAAAAACTTGTATGGGGATATGGTTTTTTAATATTTTAGTCCTGGTTTGTTTTTTGTTTGTTTGTTTGTTTGCTTAAATAAGATTGATCATTCTAAGGAGCACATTTCTCAAGTGCTTACTTTTTGTTTACTTTGTAGACCCAGCTATTGATTGGTTTCTGGGACTAGTTCCAGATTTGAAATATGTCTAAGAACTAATGTCTCCTTCAGCCTCCACCAGTAGATGTGGTACTGTGGTAATATTTTGTTGTGTATTTTTGTTGAATTTGTTGTATATCTTTTCTCCCAGTCTGTCTGGGCCCCACAATTGTGATCCTGATGAGTGTGGACAGTATTGGTAGCTGCACACTATCTTGCTCTTCTTTTCTCAGGAGTTCTGGTGGCCTAGTGTTTAGGTATTGTGCTCCCGTCTCAAAGATCACGGTGTGAACCTACCAGCTGCTCTGTGGGCATAAGATGGGCAGTCTCCTTCCATGTGATTTAATGCCTCGGAAAATCTCCTAGAGGGTCAGCAGTGGGTCAGTTCCAAATCAACAGTATACATCAACAACAGTGGAGACTATGGTTAGGTAATAAATAGGGTGCATTATTCCTTTGCATTGATTGTTGCCTTGAATCTCTAATCTTCATTCTTCTTTTTCTGGATGACAGAATATATAGTTAGATATTATATGGTACTCACAAACTTTTAAGCCCCAGTTACAATAAAATTGGATATAGAACATTGTCTTTATAGATATATTTTGTTAATTGACCAGATGTCTCTAAGACTTGCTCATAAGTTTTTAAGCCCAGTGACTCAGTCCATCAAGGTTTTTGGTTATGGTTAAGACATTTGTATAACTTTGTCCTTGTACACTTTGCTATGTGCCTGGCTATATTTCTAACACATACAGCTGTGCCAAATCTCTCTATATATGCTTGTGAGTTTATTCCTTATGCATCTGACCCCTCTTGGCTTACGTATCTACCTCTGTATCTTCTTGTAAACTGTTGGTTACTGCTGTGTATAATACTATTTGCTGTTGTTGCCTTTTATTCAACATTTATCTCCTGGTATATTTTACATTGTGCTGATGTGCCTTCATTATAAGTTGCATTTTCCATAACCCAAGTTAAATATGCCTCCCTTTCCTGCCTCACAATGTCTAATAAACATCAAAGAATGTTTCTTTCTATGTGTAAGACTTTCTTGGCTATTTATAATAGTGGTCTCATACAGCATTTGCCATTTCATTATTGAAATATTTCTATCATCATAATGTGTTCCAGGTTCATTTATGCTATGGTATGTTGTATATTTATCATTAATTCTCTACTTTTACACAGTATACAATTGCGTGTATCTATAATAACTTTGTTTAGCCACTCATTTACTGATGAGTTCTAGGTTAAATCCACCATTTTGGTATTGTGAACCTTGTAGGCAAGATTAGATGGGCTAGCTTTGGCCACTTTGAATTGGATAATACCAGTATACTATACTGGGAGAGAAAAACAGAAGAAGAATGGTGTTACATTAATAATTAAAAAGATAATTTCAATTTCTATCCTTGAGTACACTTTGTGAGATATAGAATATAATCCATACACATATAAGGAAGACCTACTAATATAACTGTTACTTAAATATACACAGCTAAAGCCAAAGAAAAGGAAATTTAATATTTTTACCAAATTTTGCAGTCTGAAATAGAACAAACATGTAATCATTATGCATTAGTGACTCTTTTAGCATAGTTGCAACCATGAGGTGCAGTTTTCTTTCTTCCCCACCTGGGACTTTCACTGAGCAACCAAGTCCAAGGGCCCTGCAGTAGGCATTGGTCTTAGCACCACCTTCTCCTATGTGTGGGTCTTCCAGCACAGGAAAGTGGAGATCATTGCAAATTATTAAGACAACCTGACCCTCCCCCCCAAGCTATGTTGCATTTACTGATACTGAACGATTGATTGGTGATGCAGCAAAGAATCAAGTTGCAATGAATCCCACTAACACAATATTTGATGTCTCATTGTCTCATTGGATGAAGATTTGATGATGCTGTTGTGCAGTCAGATAGGAAACTCTGACCCTTCATGGTGGTGCAGACAGGCCAAAGGTTCAAGTAGAATATAAAGGAGAAAACAAAAGTTTCTATCCAGAGAAGGTGTCATATATGGTTCTGACAAAGGTGGAGGAAATTACAGAAGCCTACCTTGGGAAGACTGTTACCAATGCTGTTGTCACTGTACCACCTTATTTCAGTGACTCTCAGCACCAGGATACCAAAGATGCTGGACCCATTGCTGGCCTCAGTGTCCTCTGAATCGTCAGTGAGCCAACTGCTGCTGCTATTGTATATGGTTTAGACAAAAATGTTGGTGCTGAAAGGAATTGCTGATCTTTGACTTAGGAGGTGGCATTTTTGATGCATCTATCCTCACTACTGAAGATGGGATATTTCAGTCAAGTCTACAGCTGGAAACACTCACTTATGTGGAGAAGACTTTGGCAACAGAATGGTCAACCATTTCATTGCAGAGTTTCAGTGCAAGAATAAGAAAGATATCAGTGAAAATAAGAGGGCTGTCCGATGCCTCCACACTGCTTGTGAATGTGCAAAGCATACCCTTTCTTCCAGCACCCAGGCAAGTATTGAGATTGATTCTATGTATGAGGGATCAACTTCTACACTTCCATTACTTGAACCTGCTTTTGAGAATTGAATGCTGATTTTTTTTTCTGTGGCACTGGGCCCCCTGTGGAGAAAACCCTGAGGGATGCCAAGCTAGACAAGTCACAGTTCCATGATACTGTCAAGCTGGATAATTCTGCCAGAATTCCTAAGATTCAGAAACTTCTTCAGGACTTTTTCAGTGGAAAGGAATTGAACAAGAGCATCAATGGAACTGTTTCTTATGGTGCAGCTGTCCAGGTGGCCATTCTCTCTGGAAACAAATCTGAAAATGTTCAAGATTTGCTGCTCCTGGATGTCATTCCACATTACCTTGGTATTGAAACTGATGGTGGAGTCATGACTGTCCTCATCAAGTAGAAGACTACCATTACTACCAAGCAGACACAGACCTTCACAACCTACTTGGACACCAGCCTGTTGTACTCATTCAGGTCTATGAAGGTGAGCATGCTGTGGCCAAAGATAACAACTGGCTTGGCAAGTTTGAGCTCACTGTCATACCACCTGCACCTCATGGTGTTCCTCAGATTGAAATCACCTTTGATATTGTTGTAAATGGTATCCTTAATGGTTCTACTGTTGACAAGTGCACTGGGAATGAAAACAAGATTACCATCACCAGTGACAAGGGCCACTTGAGTAAAGAAGACATTGAATGAATGGTCCAGCTGACAGAGAAGTACAAAGCTGAAAATGAGAAGCAAGTAGATAAAGTATCTTCTAAGAATTTCCTTGAGTCTT